AATTACTTGAGTCTATTTTGTGTGCCTAATAATGAAACCCACAGACTGTGTATGTTTGAAGAAATTTATTTTAGCTCACAGTTCTCCTCCAAAGAAAGGCCACATCTGGTGACAGCCATCTTAACAACAGCATTTCAAGACAGCACAGGACACTGTGTGGTTAAGACACAGAAAGCAGACACAAGCATGAGCTCGCATGCCTCTATGTGTACATGTGTGCATATTAAATCATGGAGTTCCACACTGATGACTCTGCTGATCCTAAAAGCCTTCCAGAGGCCCCACTTCTCAATACCACAGTACTTCCACCCTCCTACTACCTCACAATGGAGAGGACAATCCCTACTCAAACCACAGCAGTCACAAGTACCGTAATACAGGAGCATAAGCTCATTCAACCCAAGTGCTACAAGTGAGCACGACACTCCAAAGCATCATGCCTGCTCTGTGCCAGGGCCATGCTCAGCACCAGGGCACCTCTACCACAAAGAAGACCAGCCCCTCAACCTCCCAGGCTTCCTGCTTGGGCAGAGACCAAATAACATCCCCCACAGCTACCCACTGACTATTCAGGTGTTTAGGGACTCCCCGAGGGTAGCAAGGCACCTTCTGAGAAACAGAGGCTTGTGCTAAAATCCAGAGGATGAGGGGAGCTAACCAGGAGGTGATTCCAACAAAAGGCCAAGACTGAGTCCTGTGACAGGGCAGCTCAGAGTGTCTAAGGGAGCAGGTGGGTCCATGTGGGAGGCACAGCCTCCAAAGGTGCAGTCTTCCTGCTGTGGCTTTATGGCCTCCCAGAGCGGGTCCCTCAGCACAAACTGAAGACAGTGGGTAGCAGATGGAGAGGCAGGTCTCAAAGGCAGTCCAGCCTGGACAGCCAGTGGTCAACACAGCGAGGCTTAGGAGGGAGGGTGGCACGTCTGCAGCCTGGGTGGTGAAGATGGGGGCTAGGTTCAGGAAGGGGGCAGCAAGCACAGGGCAGGGAACCTGAGCTTGGATGGAGCTGTCCTAGTCATGAAGTCTGGTCGCACTGCCTTCTAGAAGTGACAGCTCCATGTCCCAGGTATCAATCAACAGACACAGATGTGGTAGCACAGTGATGCTGGATCCCTTACTTTCTTAGAGACAAGTGTTGCTGGTTTACATTAGGTCAGCAGAAAGCCCTGGGCCCTGGCACCCTTTGAAAGTCCACCGTCTCTGGCACTGTGATGCTCCTCCCATGCCCATACAGTGAGGGCCCACAGCATCTCCCTAATGCGTTTCGGGCCTGCCTGCTTCTGAGTCGCAGCCCTTATCACAGCAGTCAGTCTCCTATGCTTCCCAGACCCACCCGGCTGGCATCACGGCCTCTGTGGAACTTCTAGGACGCCCCTTGTCTGAAAGCTCTGATAAAGGATGCTGGGTTCAGACATGCAACCCACAACACCAGGGCATTTCCTGTTGACATACCACAGTGTTCTCAAACAGAGGGTGGCATTTGAGAGGAAGTATAAATCTTCATGGTAGGTAGTACCCACAGTAACTGAATCAGAAAAAGGTCATGAGAACGATCGCATCTAAAAGACTCCTGGGCATTTACAAAATAGCAATTGTATAATAATAGAATTACTATACTTATGTGCATAAATGTGATGTCTCAGTCTATTTGGACTGCTATAAAAAAATTACCACAGCTGAGGAGCTTAGCTACAGAAGCAAATCTATTTCTCAGAGTTCTGGCCCCAGACCAAAGCATGTATGAGGAGCATCCCTTCTAGTTCATAGACACTACTTTGTGGTCTGTCCCACAGTAGAGGGTAGAGGGTGAGGTACTCCTCAGGCAACACAGCACTTGGAGGGTCCCTGGGGGGCTCACTGCCTTACAGCAAATCAAAACTCTGAAGAGTTGTGACAGAAAGTGAGACAACGCTAATCCCCCCCAGGCCACCAGGCCATCATGTTGGCCTTCACTCTAATGAATGTCTGAATGTGTCTACAAGGCATCTGTCATCTTACTAAACCTTTCTTCACAACTGAATGACAGATGAGTCTGCTGACTACCTCCTCCATATAAAGTACCACCTCGAACCCCTTTTCTCTCTCAAGTACCTCCCATGCATGCTCTGTCTCTCTCTGTTTTCTCTCCAGATAAGAAAACAAACATCGTAGAGTAGAGCCTTGAGCTCGAGAGATGCACTCATGTGAACCTTCCACATGCACAAGCAAATTCACACGTGTGCAGTCAGAGGCATGGACACATCCACATGCAAGAACACACAATCATGCACACATGCATTTCACACCTGCAACCATCCCTATGTGCACACACATTCATACAAATACAACTATATAGGCAGTACCCACATTCATATTTGTACACATGCAATCACACCTTCATGCCTTCACATACTCAAGTGCGAACATACACAAGTACATACACTCAGATACACACAACCACATACCATCCTGACATGCCCTCTGAAGTCCCTCTTAACATTTCATATACCATTTATTAAAAACATCACCAAGGGCCTGGAGAGATGGCTCAGCAGTTAAGAGCACTAGCTACTCTTGCAGAGGACCAGGGTTCGGTTCCCAGCACCTACAGGGTAGCTAACAACCATCAGTAACTCCAATTCCAGGGGAATCTGATGCCCTCTTCTGGCCTCCCCAAGCATTACACATCACATATAACAAGCCAAAGCTGGTTCCAGGTATCACGTAGGTGGGAACCTCAGCCCATTTAACCTCAACACTCAGCCCTACCTTGACACGCCATTTCCTTATGTTCAGACTTGAGACTCACATTTGGAATCCAATTCTTTTTTAAATGTACTATTATTGTGTATGCATGTTGTATGGGGGCACATGTATGCCACAGCACATGTGTAGAGGTCAGAAGACAATTCTGCAGGGTCAGTTCACTCCTTCCACCTTTACATGGGCTCCAAGGATCAAGTCCAGATCCTCAAGCTTGCATAGCAAGCACTTATACCCACTGGGCCCTTTGACTGGCATCAAGATCCAATTCTTAAAACAGAAGTGTTTCCATGAATGGGGTTCATAATACAGAGACTTGATGGCTCTCAACACATTACGTTCCTGCAGGTGCAAGAACCTACCAACCACAGACGACAGGCAGAGAAACTGTTGTCTTCACTCACAGACACCGTGGAACAAACTTGGTGAGGTAAACAGCACACTGAGGATGCCATCTCTGTTCTGCAAACAGAAAGGGCCACCACACCAGGGCTGACATGACCTTCCTGCATGGGACACAATGTGTAAAAGAAAGGCCCAGGGCCACAACACAGCTCTTGTGGGTACCACGTTACCTTGCAGGGGAGCACTGTGTGCAAACAGGCCAGAGAGTCTGGAAGCACTCAATGTCAAACGAGACTTGGGGTAGACCCTACACCCTGTTCTCTACCCAAAGGCAGAATGAATTCCTGAACCAACTCACCTCTGGCTCCTGGTTGGATACAGCCCCAGAAGTGTACCCACAGAGACCGCAAAGTCACAAAGGACAGGTCAGGTTGCTCTCCCACAAGCTCACCAGAGTGAGTAGTCAACAAGAGCTTCCTGTTTTCCTCACGGCCACCACTTACCTACTCTCAGCTCCTTTCTCATTTCCTTTAGGCCAGGGGGCTGGGAAGTGGGGAGATGGGTAGGCTGCTCCTCACAGCATACCCAGCATGCTCCTGAAGCTGTACTATACCCACTGCTCTGCGTAGCAGTCCACCACAGGGAGGCCCCACCTGAAAATGCCCAGTATACGTCAGCATCAGTGACATCTTCTCAATCCCTGGGACATGTCCTGGTCTAGAGCCACAGTGGCCATAGGTGGTATCATCAGAAGGTGGAGGGCACCCTAGAACTCTACATCTACAGGGGATGGGAGGGATGGGATTAGGTAGAGAAGTAGAGGCTCAGCAGGCCTGGGGTGGGAGGAACACCTGGGCTCAGGTAAAGATGGGACACAGCAGGCCTGGAGTGGGAATCACAGGGGCAGCACTACTATAGTAAGTGTTTTAGCACTGCATGACAAAGGGCATCAAACAGGCACTACAGCCCAGGCAGATGCCCTTCAACTCTGAACAGATGCCACAAAAAGGCTTTAGAGCCCCAGAGGATCACACCCTCAGCCCACTACCCACTCACTATGATGCGTCTCCTCTCTGCTCTAAAGCTTCAGAAGGAGAATGGAGCCAAGGAGGTTTGCCTGGTAAAGCTTGGTAAAACACCAGAGACCCTGGAAAGACTTGTCAATTTTCCACAAAAAAAAAAAAAAAAAAAAAAAAATTGGATGTGGTAATGAACACCAATAATCTCAGCACTCTGGAAGGCAAGGAGGGAATGTGAGCAGTCAAGACCAGCCTATTGAAAAGGGATGCGGTAGAACGAGAATACCAACTCCATGAAGGAAATCCTAAATCCCACAATTAACTGCACACTAAAGAGCAGTCTCCAAAGACCCAGTCTCCAAGGGCTTCCTGGGATATGTGCTAGACCAGCCCACCCAGCCACACAACCATTACATAGATTTATCAATATGTGGTAGAAAGGAATTTAAAGGTTGCACTAATTACACAGTGTTTAAGCATCAAGTAGCCTAGCTGGTGGCTTTGTTTAGAAACAAGATCAATGTTTTAACTAACAGGCAGAAAGGGCCAGCAAACAATAGCCCTTAACTGTAGAAACACTTCATCTGAAAGTGAAGCTGAATAAAGTGAATTATGCCTACGGAAAAGCCCAGGGCCTAAGTCACAAATTACCAATGGCTGTCTCTTACATAGGAACAGCTCTGCTTCTTCTGGAAATTTTCCTTAGGAGCACTATCTGTGTAAATATGGTAGGGCCCTGTCTACCCCAGGTTGGGGGTGGGGTGGGGGGTGAACATAGACTCAAAAGGGAAATTCCATGACTTAACTTTTGGAAACTTCCCAATGAATGGCTTTCTTCATTCTGCTGTTTGTTTTGCTTGGGTCTAATAGGCAGAGAGGAGCAGAGCACGGACTTACCTCGACACACAATCCCTTGACCATCAATGATCTGTCTGCACACACTGCAGACTTTAGGTTTTTTAAAGCCCTTTTTCTTAAAGCTGTGCAGACACGTGGTAAATTCTTCTGGCTGAAAGAATAAAGGAAGAAACTGTCAGCGCCTCAACTCATAGCCGGCTTCTTTTTTCTTTTCCATCTCAGGAGATAATAAATCTAGTAAGCTTGGTGAAGAGCTGAAAGAAGAGCTTTACCAAGCAAAGGAGACCCAAGGAGAGCCAGTCGGCATTCTGGATCCCGGAGTCCAGAAGCCAGCTCATCCTCTCTCTCAGCCTGCACATTCCATGAAGTGCTTTGAACCCAGACAGTAACCCACTACCTACCCACTACAATAAGAAAATAACCCCCACACCTTTCCAGCATCTCACAGCTTCTTCCTCTGGAATAAATGATTAGCAAAGAGCAGGACAGAGTTACAAAGAAGCTGACTGGGTCCCCCTCAAAGGTGCTCCAACATGACCACTAAGTTCCCCCATCTCTCAGATTCCCTCTTCGGTAGAAGACAGCCCTACAATGAGCCTGGGACATGCATGTGCTTTGTCCTTCACCAAGATGACAAGGTTTAGGATCAGGAGGAAATAAACTCTCATGCACCAAGTTCACAGTGTTTGCAGGGTCTGGGCTCAAAGCCTGTACCTGATAATCTTATAAGAATTCATTTTGCTTTGCAAATCAAATACCATCCTTATACCTATTTGCTGATAAACAACAGTGTAGTCGGTAACTAATGGCCACATGGACACTAGTCAATACACATATATCAGAGCCATTGCTCATTCACCTGGATGGCTGAAATTTACTGAGAACATGAAGCAATGCTACAGCTACTTTGGAAAATAATTTGACAATTTCCTATAAACTGTAAAATACATTTCTGCTATGGTCCATCCATGCCATTCTGATGTACACTTAAAAAATTACTATGTCTACAAAAGGCTTGAACAGAAAAGGTCATAGCAATCTAACTTAAAAGTGAACTAGACTGCAAACAGCACTCTAGCTTTTTTGTTTTGTTTGTTTTGTTTTGTCTTTTTGAGACAGGGTCTCCCTGAAGCCATAGCTGGTCTGGAACTTACTATGTAGACCAGGCTGGCCTGTGAGATCTGCCTGTCTCTGCCTCCTGAGTGCTGGAATTAAAGGCACGCACCACAGGCCCAGCAGTAGTTTTTCACAGCCCCCAGCGCTCTTGCAATATACACAATAAACCATTTCTCCTAACAATAAAAAAGTGTCCAAAACAAGAAATAATGTGAATATCTAGCATAAGGAAAATGGAGTTTTCAAAAGCGCTGGTAATACAGAATGGTGTTCAGAAACACACAAGTATGTACTATCACGCAGGTAACAATATAGATGAAAAAAATTACATGCTGGCCAGACATGATAGAGAACACCTTTAATCCCAGCACTCCAGAAGTAGAGGCAGGCGGAACTCTATGAGATCCAGGCCAGCCCAATCTGGGCCAGCTGTGGCTGCAGGGAGACCTGTCTCAGACCCCTCCCCCAAAATATACTGACTTAAAGACAGGAGAATACCAGAGTGTCCAATTTCTATGACGTTCAATATGTAACAGCAGTAACAACAGTCATAGAACTCATGGTGAGGGGTGTGTGAGAGAACCAGGAAGGAACACTGGAGAACAAAGTCCTGCCTCATATTCTAAATGGCAGTTATATGAAGACACAAAATTAAAGTCAGTAAGTCTCAGAATTTTACACTGTACTATCTAGGGACCTATGGGAAAGGTTACAATATAGATAGGAATAAGATGACGAGAATCCTACAAAGATGTTATCGCGTGGCTTTAAAGATGAGCTCAGGCAGCATGAAACACCATGACAGCATTTTTATTGACTTAGTTTAAATCTGCAAGATCTTCCCGCTGCTGATGCAGAAGATGCTTTACCAGGAACTAAATTTATCCTCACACACAAAATATACCAAATCACTGCTTTTAAAGCACTGTAGCAGGAACTGAAGGTTAGCTATAAGGAGGCTTTGGTCAGCAATATCAAGGTGGTCTCAAAACAAAAATGGAGCTGAAAAAGCCCTGTCACTTAGTGATGTTCAGCTACCATAGCTGATGGAAACACACTCTACGATCTGGCATGATGACAAAAAGACCTGACAATGTATTTCTTAGATTGACTATTAATTTCAGAAGGAAGAAAAACTTAAGGTCAACCTCATGTCTTACCCCTTCCCACCACCAACTGCTGTCTTGAGAGACTTTGCTGACTGCAGAAAAGATCTGAGCTGAGCCCAGTGTGCAACCCCTGGTAAGGAAAGTGATGAGAGTGTCCCACACAGAGTCATAGAACAAAATACTAAAGAAAACCCCAGACCAACATGTGGATCAAGGATGCGGAGAGTCACACACACCCTGCGCCCTCCAGCAGCCTCACACAGAGCTGGGAACAGTGCCTGCGGATCAGGAAATGCAACTTCACAGTATTTCATAGGAGATCCAGAACAATCTTATCTTACTCATGGAGAAAAATCAGCTCTACGTTGAACAGCTGTCTTGACCCACACATGCTATCTAAAATGCAGTGCCCAAAAGGATTTTATTATTGCCCAGTAACATAATTACATTCCAGAAAAAAAAGCACACCAGAGTACTACAAGGATCACAAAATTTTTTAGCATTCAAAAATGGTAAAAATTCATAGTGGCTGGTAGCCAATCAAAAGTCATCAAGCATTCAAAGAGACAAGAAAGACAATATATTGAAAAAGAAAAGTCAATAGAAACTGGAATTAGCAGACAGGAGTATGAGGGTATCACTACAACTGGATCAGATCTGCTCAAAATGAGACCGAAAAAACGCAAAGCAATCCAAATCAAACATCCACAAAAGAAAACATGAAATTCAGAGGTGAAAAATATGCTGGACGTGATTATTGCCCAATTACTAAGAAAAAGAGAAACTAGTGACTTGAAAAACATCACAGTGGAAAACTTCCAACTCAAAGCATACAAAAAAGTAAGACAACTTGAATGAATAAACAAATGAGCACCAGGAACTATGGAGGATCCTCAGAACAAATACACATTCACTCAGAGTCCTAAAGGAGAGGAAGAACAGAAGAAGTGGGGAGAAATAATAACCAAATCTTTCCAAAATACAAGACATAGATCCAAGAAACAACTATACCAACTACCTGAAAATAAACTACTCAATCCTAGTAATAAACAGAAAAATCTTAAAACCACCAAAGGGAAGAAAAAGACACATCACATACAAGGGATGAATGATGATGGTAACTGAAGTTTTTTAAAAAAAATTTTTGAGGCTGGAGGTAAGACTTGTGGCAAAAGTATGTACTATGTACTACTCTTGCAGAGAACTTGAGTTTGATTCCCAGCACCTAAATGTGGCAGCTGACAACGACCTGCAACCCCAGCTTCAGGCTTATTTCAAACCCTCTGGTCTCTGTTTTCCTCTGTGGGTACCTGCATTCATGTGCATATACACACAGACACACATACAAATACACTTTTTAAAAAAATAATAAAAATAAATCCTTTAAAAATTAATAAATTTTAAAACATGAGACATTAGTGAAACAATATAAAATACTGAAGAAATCCAATCAGTCTAGAATTCTAAAGTCAAAACATTTCCAAAACGAAAGAAAATCAGAAATGTGTTAAGATATTTACTCAAAAGCTGAAAGCCAAGAATTCCTCACTAGCTGCTAGCATGTTCCACAGACATGTTAAAGACAGTTCTTAGGAAAAGGGAACAGGAAAATAAAATATGATTACATAAAAGAACAAAGAACAGTAAAATGGCAAATACATGGGTAATATGCAATATTTTTTCTTACTATTTAAAGAACATCAAAATATTACTAATAATTTAAATAAAAAGTAATGTGATATAATAGCTATGAAATGGAATCAGCCTAAATGTTCATCAACAAACTGATGGATGGATAATCACAAGCTAGTACTCAAAGGAATTTTGTTCAGCTATAAAGAAAAATACAATTTGCAGGAAAATGGATGGAATGGTATTGTACTGAGTTATGCTGCCTGTTCTCTCTTATATGTAGATCCTAGTTTCAAATTTTTAGATTTGTATGCTTTAGAAGCCAGGACATTAGAAAGAGGCCCGGGGGGCGGCGGGGGGGGGTGGTCTTTAAGAGGGGAGATAGTAGAACACATGTGACGTGAAAACGGATAGGAGTACTGGAGATGGAAAAGTTTCAGCAGGGATGGGAGAGAGGAGAAGGGGAGGGTTAGCGAAAACTAGGAAGAATGAAAAAGCCATATGGAAACCTACTATTTTGTAAGATAATTACATATATTAAAGCATTTAAAAGGAAGCTCCCCGCATGGGTTGGTAACACTGCTCCCTGAAGCCACAGGCTATTAAATCTATCAGGGTTTAAGAGCACCTACTGCTTTTCCAGAAGACCCAAGTTCAGTTCCCAGCACCGAAATCGGGTGGCTTGTAAACCAATTGCCTGTAACTCCAGCTCCAGGGAATCTGACGCCCTTTTCTGGTCTCTACAGGCACCGCACACATGTGGCATATACATAAATAAAAATAAGCCTTGAAAACAAAATCCCAATGCTAGTCACAGGATACCTCCCTGTAAGTCATTGGTCAGGAATGCCCCAGAGGTTCCCCCAAACAATACAAGCTATCATCACTGCTTTTAAGAAGCCACATCAGGAACTGGTGTCCACAGAGGACCAACTATGTAAGGACCAGGTCAGAAGATGGCTGTGTACAAATGAAGGAGAGAGGCCTTAGAAGAAAGCAACCATGCCCAACCGTGCCATAACTTCTGTGTCCTGCCTCAGCACTGTTAGCAGATGCATTTCTGTTAAGCCACCTTATCTGTGGCTTTTTATTATGCAACCTTTCTTGGCAATCTGCAGAGCTGGCCAGAAAATAAGCAAGGATACAAAAGAGTTGTCTGATATTATCAAACAATTTGACCTAACAGACTCAAAACATTTGACTCAGTAGCAACAGAACACATGTTCTTTCAAGAGTATGTGGAGTGTCTAGTCATTCTATGAGGTATAGAACAAGCCTGAACAAATCAAAATGA